GTCCCTTTTTTTTTTAAAATAAAGTTGTTTTTTAACATTTATTTATTTTGAGAGAGAGAAAGAGAGCATGGGGGAGGGGCAGAGAGAGAGAGGGAGAGAGAGAATCCCAAGCAGGCTCTGAACTATCAATGCAGAGCCCCATGTGGGGCTCAAGCTCAGGAACGGTGAGATCATGACCTGAACCAAATTAAGACTCAGACACTTGACTGACTGAGCCACCCAGGCGCCCCTCCTTTCACTATCCCAAACTCCAAGTAGAAGACGCCTCAGTTGGGCCCCGCTTCCCCTCCCAGCTCTCGCACAGACTGTTCCCTCTGCTCCTTCACTGCCATCACTGCCAGCCATACCTGCACCTGCCAGGCCCTGCCTCTTGCCAAAGCCAGGCATTTGCCCATGCAGTTTTCTTTGCGGGGCATACATGTGCCATGGCCCATTGACATGTGTCCCAACCCTTTTGATCAATGTGGCAGGTCTACCCCTCTGAGCAGCTCAGGAGAGTAGATGGCGGGGTCTGTGGGGAGGTCACACTTGGGGACTCTGGTTCCAATATCCCTCAGGGCAGGTCAAGACAACCTCAGAGGGTAAAGGGGAAAACACACAGACTCACATGAGCAGCAAGAGTATCGACAATAATGATCATAGCAAAGCCATGAACAGCAACCTCTATGTGTCAGATGCTCTTCTCTGCCTGTCATGGCAACTAAGGAATTTAATCTCACAGCAATCCCACCTAACAAACGGAGAAAACTGAGACAGAGGTTACTGTCTCATGGTCCTAATCCCCTCTATGGGTGGCCCACCTTGCCAGCCATGTAGTGCCTCCTAGAGCTGCCCAGTGCAGCTGGGCCACACTGTCTTCAGGTCCAGGCTGCACGTGTCACTGGGTTCACTCCCTGCCTTCCTAGGCAGATAATAGTCTGAGTCTCTACAGTGCCCTCCCCATCCCCACCAAGGCCCCTGCCCACCTCCATCCACCCTGCCCACCCATCTCACCCCAGATCCACATTTTACTAGGAGAAACTGAAGCACAGCTGTGGCCCTCACAGAGGTAGGCCTGGTATGTGCACAACCCAGTGGCCTCCCTGAGAAGAAGGGTCTGGGCTCTCCTCTCAAATGCTACCAGCTGCTGGGTATTACTGGGCTTCTGACTATCCCAGGCCTGCTTCCCAGGATAGGCGAGTGAGTAATTGGGGCGGGGGAGGGGGGGGGGCACACAACTGTGCAGGCCCTGGGGGGTGGCTCTGAAGCAGCGAGCCCCTCTACTATGGGTTCAGACCCTGGGCCCTAGAAGCACCCGTTCCAGTGCATTCCCCTGGACATGGGCTTGGTCAGATGGCAGTACTCCTGCTTCCTCGTTGTGCTATGCATGGCAGAGGAACAGCCAGGGTCCCCCACACTGACACTCCATACCTGCTGATGGAAAGATGGGGAGAGGGCCTAGGAAGGCCCGAGAGTGATGCCTGATCACGGAGGCCAATCCTCCAGAACCCAAATATCCAGGAGCAGGGAGGGCAGCACCGGGCTGGCTAACCACAAGGTCCAGGTGACCTCCTGGCTGTCCTGCCCACCTAGGCACTTGCTCCCACAGAGCAGGAGGCTGGTAGCACATCCTGGGGCAGAGGGAGACTCAGGAACCAGAGGCCTCAGCCAGGATTGGGGGTTCAGTGGAGGAGCAGAAGCCAAGGATGTGAAGTGATGGGTCAGATCAATCATGTAGGCCCCAGTCAGGTAAACCAAGACTCAGAGTGGGCAACTGTCCAGGGCACATGAGACCTGAGGTTTTGGTAAGGGTTCTGTCTCTTGTGTGACTTTGGGACCATGTCTGCTTGAGGTACCAGTTTCCCTGTCTGGCCTTTTGACCACTCTCCTAGTAAAGTGGTATGGCACCCTGTGACCCTGCCCAGAGACAGGGATGACAGAACAAATGAGCTTTGCATCTGATTTTCCTAGCAGTGGCAGACCTGGCAGACACAGAGATGGGCAGTACCTGGGTGACCAGGTTGGAGCCAGGACACTTGCTCCCTGTCCCAGCCAACTGAGGGTCCATTTCCCTGTCCCCTTTCAGCCTCAGCCTCCCTTCCTGTCACATTCTGAGGGTTAGGAGGACATTCTCTGCCCCCATTTGACAGGTGGACAAACCAAAATCATGGAGCCCCCATCCCTGGACTCAGGGTGACCCCTTTGTCCTCCCAGCAGCTGTGACTCAAGCAGGAAGGAGTGAGTGGCAGGACAAGGGTGTGGTCCTGGTGGCTAGGCAGGAAGCAGGGGGGAACAGAGGGACAGAAGGAGAGGCATGGCCCAGGAACAGCTACAACAAGCAGACCAGGAGGCAGAGGCAGAGTGGGTGGGATGGTGGAATAGGGGGGGCCAGGTACCCCCAGGAGCTGTGGGGCCTAGCCCCACTCTTCACCCCCTCCCCCAGGCCCTTTTCCATTAGGACTTGACAGTGCTCCCCTATCAGATAAGCTAGTACTTGGCTTGAAGTTTGCCTGTACCCTGCTGGTCCTGGGTGCCCAGTTCCTTCCACCCAGCCCTGCACCCTCCCTTCAGAGAAGGCTTCACTAGCTGGTTCTAGACTGAAGGTGGCAGGAGTCTCCTGCCCACAGAGGACTCCACCAGGCACTACTTCTCCAGCTGGGTGATATCAGAGGGGCCCACAGAGGCTCCCTAGGATGACTTCAGTGTTTCTATTGGGCCATACCTCTTCCCACCAAGAAGAAATCTCCGCAGCCTTTGTCCCAGGGCACAGCTGCTGGGCCCCCAGCAGGCAGGCAGTGATTGCCATGATGTGCTGGCGACAGAGGCTGCTCTGCATTAGAACATCTGCTTCCACTCTGGAGCGCTGGGCCCCAACAGAGGCGGGAACAGATGGGGGAAGGGAGACAGCACAACTCTACCTGCCCGAACAAGGCCAGCAGGGCCTCTGCAGCAGCAGAGATGGGGTCGCTGGTCCTGTTGCCTGATGCTGACTTCCAGCCCCAGCATCAGGTCACTGCTGCAGGTCTATTTTGACCTTCTGTGTCTCAGACAAGGCTTTGTCTTGCTGGAGGCCCTGAATGCTGCTGTCCTTTCTGGCCTCAGTTTCCCTTCTGCAGACGCCGCCAAGCCTCAAGTGGCCAACTGACCCATCGCTCACTGTC